GTTGCTGTTGCCCTCGCGCTTGATGAATAAAAGCCATGTAAAATAGCTGTTACCAAGTTAAGTAAATAAGCAGCTATCCGCTGTTGCTGTTCCGCTGAACAGCAACAATAAAAAGAACAAAGTAAACACACACACACACACACACACACCAAAAACAACAATAAGAACAACTGCCGCATCGCCGGCTGCTGCTTTGATCAATCAACCGTCAAAATTATTGCTGCATGTGGCCCGTGCCAGCTCCAGCTCCCTGCACCGGAGGGAGTCGCGGATGCAATTATAAGCATTTCCACGTGCCGCTTCATTGGAGCTCAGCTCGCGGCCTGACAGTAGCCGTTAGTTAGTGCCAACCAACCCACAATCCCAGACCCAATTCCGCCTTCATACCCTTTTCCGCACCCAGCACTTGGCTTGCCCCTATTGCAGTGCGCTGTCCATGGTTAAATAGAAATTTATTGGCCACTGGCAAACGCCCACTGAAATGAAAGCTAATCGAGTGTGTGTGTGTGTAGTGTGTGTGTGTGTGTGTAGTGTGTGTATGTGTACTGTTGCGTATGTGTACATGCGCTGAGAAATTAACTTTAGGGCTCGGTCCTGCTAATGAAGTCTGCCCTGTTTTATATGCAAGACATTGTCATCATAGTCCAGCCAGAATGCACTCATCGAAAATTAAGTTTCACCAGCAGACACCCTGCACTTTGTTGTAAAAAAATGGGAGATACTTTTCTAATTTGAGTGCACATTGTGCAGCAGCTCAAATAACTAAAATTTAAAACTATTTTCTAATTGAAATTTGGTTTGACTAATTCAAGTCCTCAAATTAGCTTAGCCTTAACTCTTGTGTTTGCTATCTAAAACATCCTCCGAGTTTTCAAACATAACATGTATTGCCTCAAGGCAATTGTATAGTACCCTGTAATAATCAAGAGTTGTTTAGAGAGTTTCGTGGCCTTTAAGGAAGCTAATATGCTTGATGGTCTACTTCTCAAAAGCCAAGTCTATCTATTGTATATTGCCATAAATGGCAGACAATTCTACTCAGAATTTATAGCAATTTATCGATTGATTAACTTGTTAACATATTAAGTTTATCTCAATCGCAAATAAAACGAAAAACTATAAATAGAGCTAAAGGCGTCTATGACTTTTAGCTTTTCTCTAGTTTATTTTTGGCTGATGGAATTTTGAGGTCCTTTGATATTATAGAGGGTTCAAACTGTAGTTGGAAATATAGTGGAAGCAAATTCTACTAAGCAGAGTCGCTTCATATTATTTAATAGCATTTATTTGAATGCATATCAGATATATTATTTATAAATGTTATTTAATGAAGAGGTCATAAAGTCTAGATATAATATTCAATGATAGAGATTATTACATTAATGTCCTTTGATATGTCCTTTAAATATGATCTGAAAATTAATAATTCGATCATTCTCAATATTAAATTAGTTTCTTTATGAAAATAAACTTGATCAAATTTTAATAAATAAAATAAATTTGAAAAAATCTATATTACAATCATATATCCATGCTTATGTCGAATAGACTATACAAAAATCCAAATAAAGAAATTTTTTAATTGAGATATTTAACAGAAAATATATGTTTATATATTTTGTTTAAACAGATGTATTTAGATTAGAAAAGATATACATATTTCATGTTTATTTTATGCTGTAAAGCGAACAAATTGTAGTTTCAAACACAATTAAATTTCTTACATGTAAAAAAAATTCAAACAAATGTATGTAATTAAGTAGACAAAGTCAAATTAAAGAGCAGGCCTATTCATCACATATGATGATGATGATGCTGCCGCTGCTGTTGTTGTTGTTGTTGTGGCAGTTGTTGCTCAAGTGGCCACTCACATGTGCAACAGCAGCTACAACAGCAGCAGCAACAACTACGCTGCAACGTAAGCGGAGGTGTTTGTCGTGTTGACGTTCGGCCTATGGCTGGTCTGGTTGTTATTATACGCCCGGCGTGGCGCATAATGCAGCTAATCTGGGGAATTAGGTAAAAAAGCTGACAAAAGGCAAACAAGCGACATTCAAGTGGCTGTTGCTGATGTTCCAGTTGCAGCAGCCCTTGCCAACGGCAACAGCAGCAGCAACAGCAGCAGCGGCAGCAATGCAATTTTGTATCCTATTACGTAAAGTAACTGTCAAGTCGTTTAGGCAGCTGGACGAGCAGCAGCAACAGCAACGGCAACAGCAACAACTCCGAGTGACTCAGCGCGCTTATCTGGCAGGCAAATGTCCCTTTTCTCTGTGAAGGATTTACGCACAAAGGAAGCGATACGGGCAAGGCAAAGCCATCGCAGAATGCGCCACCAAAAGTAGCTAAGCGAATTAAAAAAGTAAACTCCAAGTAAATTAAATAAAAAGACTTTACAGTGTGTAGACGGAGCAAAAGAAAGGGACAGATAAAAGACAGCGACGGTGAAAGAGAGAGAGAGAGAGAGAGTAGAAGAGGGAGAGAGCGAGTGTGCGCGGAATGAGGCCAAGAGAAGGCGGCTCAGACTGCTGATAAGGCGCTAAGCCCGACGATGCCATCAGCGACCGCAGCGAGAAAAATGTTTTTCAAAATGAAATCACTTTTAATGAGTCATTCAAGTGGCAAGAAGAAGCCGTCTGTAAAGCGTGCAGACAACGGACTTGCCACTTGCCACACACAACTCCTAGAATGAAAATAATAATTTTTACAAAGCAGCAAATAAGTTAAGGCAACAAAAAAGGCAATGGCAGAAAATATTACGATTCTCTTTAGAGTGTTGGCAATTTAATACTCTACAAATTTGGTGAATATATGCACATAATGATAATTGACAATGATAACATTATAATTACTTTATCAATTAGCTAGACTTATGTAGGCAAGCACTTGATCAAGCATTTCAATACATAATTGATTAATACTTATAATAATTACTAATAATATATAATTGAAAAATTAGCATGAGAGACCATAATAAATTTAAAATATGAGTGAAATAAAACACTTTAGTAAATTTATAAGACTGTGGGCTCGGTTAAGGTTTGAGTGAGGATAAACACATAATATTTCTGCATATACTAAATAACATATAATAAATATCAAGAATTATATCATATCTAATATGAATGTTAAAAATATATTAAATTAAATAAAAAAAAATATATTAAATTAAAAAAAAATGACAAAAACTAATTATCATTAGAGTAAATATAATATTTAATTACATGTTTGTTCAAGTAAAAGATATGGAAAATAAAATATGGAAAAAATTATTATCTTGGAAGGACTTTACATTAAGAAAAAAAGTTTAATTATTCTTAATATGAGAAATTATCAAAAATGAAAATATCTTTTGCTAAAATTTAAATAAGAATGTTTAGGGCAATACAAATACATTTGTTGTGTTTAAATTGTTGCCAAAATAAATTTATGCAATACACAGATTTACATACATATTCTCTGCTCAAAAATCTCGCCAAGGATTTTGCACATAATGCGCGAAAATGTTAATCGCCTCGGTTAGTGTATGAAAGGAAGACAAAAGCAATAATAATAATATCTCGCGCTATGGATGCGGATGCTGCAGGAAGCGTCAGTCGCCAGTTGCAAGTTGGTGACGCAAAAGCAACCAGAGGCAAAGCTAGAGCTAGCGCTAAAGTCGATGCCGCAACCGACGCCGACGCCGCCACCGATACCGACGACGACGACGAGGATGGCGACGCCGACGCTTCCACAGGAAATCGCAAGCACGCCTGGCAACGAGAAGTGGCATCCTGCTGGAGCAACAAGTTGCTCGCTGTCTGGCCAGACTCCTCCGGCCATTTCACTTTGCTTTCCATTTTTATACCCTGAACCCATTGAAAATGGGAAATCAGGGTATAATGGTTTTGTT